GACTTTATCATAAATATTGTCCTGTCCATTAGGATTTTTAAAAACTCCTTTATTTCTCAACATAGGTATTAAGCCATAATGTTTCAGCTACAATTATTACTGATTTTTATTATATTCTCATTTTAACACTAATTTTGAGTCTAGTGAGGCCATGTGAAGCCTTTTGATCAGCATTGGTCAACATCAATATCAACAAGGAGACAGAAAAATACTGATGTAGAATTTGAACCCAAATGTATTATTAGTCAGATACACATACTCTATTTCTGTAAACTCCTCTTTAATTAATGCAAAAGTCTATATAGAATTTTTTATTATTAAATATTTTGTTGCACCAATGGGCATATAAACTACACAAATGCTTTAATAATTTCTACACAATGCATATCTTAACATAGCAGATTCCTCCTAGAAAAAGACATTACATGACATGGACAAATATCCAGGTATAATCAAATCAGATTTTAACTACTCCAAAAGATTCTTCATTAAAATCTGAATTATCTGACATTCTATTTAACATGGAAAGTCCTGAGGAAACTGATGACTTAAGGTTAGTAGAAAGGAATTTTCAGTAAAGAATTTCAAAGTAACACTTCAATATGCAGTAGAAAGTGGTTAAATGCTCCATTTTAATAAAGAAGTTATTTTGGAGAAGGGGATGCAACTTTTACTGAATCTATCTGGAGATTCTAGACAAAGAAGTGTTTCATTATGGTAATTATACAGATAGTTCAGACAAATCTTTTATGAGATGGGGAGAGTGTAAAGTTGGCATGGTTTCCTGCTTGGACTATTTAGATGATTTATCTTTGTTGGGCTATCTTTATTCGAAGAAGTTGCTCAAGCCTACATTTGACTTATTTTAGAAAAATCTTCCTTGAATGGGCCTCTAATCTACTTGGGTCAACCTGGTTATGAGATTTCAATTGGAATATCATTAGCAAAGAATATTTCAAATCAATCTGGAAATAGCGCTTCAAAGGGGAAAAAAATCAGATGATTTGGTTTAGGTGACCCCAAAATCAGTACGCTATATACCTCAATGTATTCAAGAGTTCATTTCTGCTAATTATCAACTTTTCCTTCAGAGATATTTCTGCTTACTATCAGGTTAGGAAAGCCTTTGATGTTATTTTGAAGAACTCACTTGACATAAGTTAATACTTCAATTAACTAAGATTGTAGTGTTTGTTAGGTTTTAAAATTTCCTGTCACAATAGAGTTCTCAGATTGTTTAAGATTTCACTTAAGATTATTCCATCCTATGAAAAATTCTACACATTTTTTTACCTGCAAAATGAACACAGAATATTTTCTGAGCCATGCCTAAAATACTAATTTCTACTTATTTAAAAAGTAATAATTCACCAAATTGGTAAATAAAAGAGATCAAGAAATCATCTTAAGAAAACACACTTACACTTTTCTCTTTTTGCAGAAAATTGAAATACTCTCAATGTCCTTTGAGAATGCACTAGGCAATAAGGTTTGAAAAATTCCTTATGTATATATCCTTTCCAATTTATACAAGTACTTAGTTAAAATCCTGTAATAATACGTCATGCACAATCCATTTTCTTATTGTAACAAGTAACATTTTATCATTTCTTTTGTTAATCCTGAATCTAAAAATTCTTATATTAATATTACAAATTTGAGACAGTCCCTGAAATGATATAAGAAATTCATTTAAAAAGGCCTATTTGAGTTTTAAACCAAATAAAGAGGAGGTCTGGCAACTTAGAGAATAAGCTAGCTCAGGTTTTAGGATTACGTGTGCTGCTTAAAGAGGGACGATGCTAGGAAATGAATAAAGTGAGAACAAAGATGTATGGTTTGTGTGCATGACTTTTTTTCCCCCACAAGGTGGTGATTAAACTAAATAGAATTCTGCATAATGGACACATAAAATATCAATAAGTGCCAAGCACAGATAATCCCTATTAAAAATAAAGCAAATGAACATAGCCATAGATGACATTTTAGTTAACCAAAGAACTTCAAAAGCAAGGAAAGTACTGGGGGAAACTTTGCTATTAAATGCAAAGAATAAATGACACATACTATCTCACTTTCGTGGAAACAATGACAACCACCCAAACAACAAAACCAACCAACAGAAACCATTCGCCATCTAACCTATTCCTGTGCAAGTCAGTTTAAACAAGTAGTCCATTTAAAGAAAATTTTCAAAGGCCAAGTTTTAAGAAGCCAGATACAGCGCTTACGTCAAATTCCCAACATCTTCCCTCGCACATCCAGCCACCGTCCTTAACTTCTTCTATTTTACCATTCTATAAACATGTCCATGTTGTAGCCCACGACAGGTTAACAGGAATACTCTTCCTTCCTCACCACACACAGCCCATTTCGTTTTGAAAATACGCAGAAGTTCTTGCAAGAAACTCTTCGTAGAACTGACTGCCCTCATCTTGCATCAGATAGAAAAGCAGTTACCTTCTCATGTACTTGAGATTTTCCTTCTCCATCAAAGTCATATCTAGGACATTTGGCACACGTCTGGTACAATGACAGGCTCATTCTACTTTATGAAAGTATTTAACATATGACTTGAAAGAGTTTATGCACATACCTATTCTTTCTGAGCAAGGAGAAAGCATGCTGAAAAGATAAGCTTTAACAACAGTAACACTTTCAAACTGACTTTGGTATTCTTGGCAGTTACACATCACCCATGGCTGTCCAAAGCAGCACACACACACACACACACACACACACACACACACACACACACACACAAAGGACAGCTCTCTCTCTCTCTCTCTCCCTCCCTATCTTTGCCAAGCACAGACCTGGGAGACAGGCATAAACTGGAGGGAAGCAAAGGGAAAGTCAGTCTCCCTCCACCTGCTGCCTGAAGTGGGGGTGCTTTTGGCTGACTGGTAGACAGAAGCCTGGGACACAGCCTCAGCAGCAGCCTGCCAACATCCTTAAGAAAAATAAACAAACACATACCAACTTGCCCCCCACCCCCACCCAAAGAACTCACATGGCAGGGCTCAAAACACAACAACAGCCCAATTCCCATTAGCTCAGACAATCCTATTAAGCAGGACAACCATAAATTCATAAACCTCTACAACCCTCGAGCAAGCGTTGTGGTCTGGAACTGTACAGACACACGCAGACACAGAGGAAATTTGCACCTGTCTTTCTTGACACAACACACCTGTCAGGCCCTGCCCATGCGCACTCTAATAGACTTCTGCCTACCTAGTTTAGGAAAGGAAATGATTTTTTTTTTTTTTTTTACAAGGGAGGGCATGGGTGGAAAAGGAGACACAGAGAGAGAGAAAACAAGAGGAGAGACTCTTCTAGCCTTGACTTTGAGAGGAGGCCACCCTGTGCTTGCTCTGTTTTTATAAGCTCAAGGAGACAACACAGACCTTCTTGGAAAAATAAAAACAAGCAGGTGAGTTCCCAGCCTTCCCCCAGGCGGAGTAGGGTTCTGGGTTGCCAAGAACAGCAGTTTCACACTGCAACCTGCCTCCTTGGGCTATTTAAAACTATCGCCCGACCCCTCCTCCTAGCTCTGCTCTCTGTCTGCCTGGAGGGCTCTCGACTTCCCAAGAAGCTGGGAAGGGGCCCGAGACCTGGGAGTCTGTGGAAAGCTGCTCCCCCTTTACGACCCCCATCACTCTCTCCACCAACGTGCAGTTTTAGCAGGAGGAGAAACTGCTTGCCACACCAGAAGAGCCAACAACTTGCTAAACTGGACTTTGGGTGATGTCTGCCCCCCACTCCCGCCGCGTCCCCCTCCTGGTCTGCTCAGGCAAGATAGCAGCTCTTCCCCCCTCTTCCCGCCCTCCTCGCTAGCCTTCCCAGTAACAATTACTCTCACCTCTCCTCTCCTCTCCCCTCAGTCCTTCGAACTGGGGCAAAACGCTAGGTACCACCCAGACAAGACCAAACCGAAGCTGCCCAGCACAGCCAGCGACTGCTGGGAGACTCCTTGCCTTCGGTGTCCGCTGCCCAAGAACACCCCTACCCCCACCCGGAGCGCGACCCTCCGGTCCTCGCGATGCTTGGGCCCTGATCCCTGCACCGCGCTGGCCCCCGAGGCTCCCGGTGCCGCCTTACCCGACTCCACTTGACCCAGCCCTGGGTCCCCGAGCTCAGGAGAGGGGTGCCGCGCTCGTTTCCCGGGACCCATCACTCCACCGCGCCAACCCCGATTTCAGCATTTCAGCTTCGACAGCGTTTCGAGCGGAAAGTAACAGAGCGCCCCCCATCCTCTCCTCCCCACTCCCGGCCCTCCGCTGGGGTTAAAAAGGAGAAGTGAAAGGTATGCAAATGCCAAACAAATCGAAAGAGCCGGGAAGAAAGGCAGCTATCATAAACAAGACAAAGAGAAAGGACGTGAGACTGGCCGCGGAGTTTTAACCCGGGGGAGAAGGGAAGGATGAGGCTTGGCGGAAAGCGGGCATCTAGAGGAACAAAAAGCGACCCGGTCCCCCTCGCGGTCCTCTCTCCTGAGAAGAGAGGGCAAGAGAAAGCAGGAAAGGAAACAAGCGCCTCTTCATACCCCAGAAACAGTACACAAAAGGTGACAAGATCAGCGACAAGTCCAGCGACACCAGCCTTCCCCCCGTCGCCAACACCACCCCCAGCCACCAGCAGGAAAGAGAAAGAAATAAAAGCCAAGCGGATCACTTACTCTCAGGAACTGCCTGGGAGGAGCGGAGCGCTGAGTTCCACTGAGGCTCCTGCTCGGAAACTGTTTAGAGGGCTATTTTATTAGGATTCAGTTAAATAACACCATTTTTCTCCTGGAAAAAAAAAAATGTTTACACGGCCATGAGTAATGGGAGGCTCTTTTCTCTCCTTCTCATTCAAGAACAAGCCAGTGCAAGTGATTCTGGAAAAGGGGAGGGACTGGCGAGGGGGCGAAGGTACTTACGCGGTGCGCAGAGCAGGGGGACCGAGCCTCTCCTCTTTTTTTTTTTTTTTTGCCGGCAGAGAGAGGAACGAAAACACGCGCGCGCACACACGGTGGTATCTTGCGGGTGATGACTGTGATAATTGGACAAGGGACGGTGAGTCTGTGCGAGAGCGAGCGAGCGGGGCGAGCGGGAGAGGGAGAGGGGAGAGAGAGGAGGGCGGGGAGGGGACAGCAGAGGAGAGGAGGGAAGGGGCGAGAAGGGGCGAGGAGAGGAGAGAAGAGGAGGAAAAGAAAAGAGGAGCGGAGCGCAGGAGAGGAGGGGAGAGCAGGAGAGAGGAGGAGAGGAGCGGAGCGAGGCGGAGAGGGAGCGGGCGGACCCGGCGAGAGCTCTTTTGCGCCGCTCTGCTTCCCCCGGCTGCAATGGTGTGTGATTCCAGAGCGCTCCCTCAGCTGAGGGCTCCGCTCCACAACAAGATTTACTTTAAGACACAGCTGAAGGAAACAGGAAGACTGCACGTCACAGTCTGACTGACGTACCCGGCCCCGGCACCCAATCGCAATCGAGAGGCGCCTTCGGATTCAAGGGGGGATAGCAAGGCAAGAGAACTTGGGAGGAAAAAAAATATAAAAGGGGTGGGGGTGAGGGGCTACAACAAAACCAACCAACAGAAACCATTCGCCATCGAGAGGGGCCCCCGCGCTCCCCCTCCCCGGCCTCCGTCCCCGGCCCCCACCCCCACCCCAGCCCTGCCACTGCTTCGGGGCGACCGGATCGCCGCGCCGGGGCCGGAGCGAGCCATCTGCGGGCACTATGCAAAGCGCGAGACGGCGCGAGCGGCGCCCGGCTCACACTCGCTCTTCCAGGACGCAGGTCCTCTTTTTTTTTTTTTTTTTTCTTTTTTCCTTTTTGCATTTCCCAGATACAGCTGATCGAGTTCGCCGAGTGGCCGAGCGAGCGAGCGCTCCTCGGACTTGGGTGGAGGAAGGCACGGAAAAGTATACGGGAGAAAAAGTGGGGGTTTTAGGAGTGGGGGCGGCGTAGGAGGAGGGACGGAGGGATCTGTAGATCACTCCACTTTTGAAACGATCCTGGGTCGTATCAAGAATACATGTCACCTTTGCTTCCTTTTAAAGGGGAGGTGGACAGTAAAATACAGGTAGGTTTGGTATTAAAATAATAGGTGCCAGAGGTTTCACACTGGGACCGCTGCATCTGATATCAGAAGATCATCATTGGCTGAGTCCCAGTCAATCTCCGGTCGAAATTATTAGGAAGAAGAATATTTACCCTTGGTTACCTCTAACAACATTATTTGGATTGCAGGTACATCAGCCTTTAAAAAATATGTTACAAACATTATCTCGCGATTACCCCTCAATAATTCACTCACCCCAGAATGGCCAAGGAAAGCGGTTCAACACAGGATTTACACAGTTTTGACGCCTGAGTAACAAACTTTAAAGTTTATTGGGGGAGAAATTTCAAACGCTTAAATCTCAGGCTCCAACGTAAAGCCATGGAGAATTCACTTTGGTTTGACATTTCTTGGATGAAAAATAACCAGCAAGATTTCTTTAGATAATGTGGCTCTTAAAGAGCTCCTTGGGCTTTGCAAGTTACAAATGCTAAAGAGCGAGCCTCCAGCCGCAGCTAGAACGTCCCTTTCCCTGCACAGTAAACGGCTTTTAATAAAGCAGACGCGTTTATGACTTAAAGGTCCTATAAAAGCTAGGACTTGCAAGAGCTGTGAAGCAGAAACGTTCATACATAGTCGATTAAAACACTCATTTTTTAGGTAGGACGAGGACAAGTATTTTTTCGTGTGTCACTCAAATTTAATCAGATCAAAGGTTGAATCATGCTGTGTCGTGACAACAGGGTATTTATGAGATGTGTTACAAGTACACTGGCCAAACACCACCACCATCTTCTGGGAGACACACGCGCGCGCACACACACACACACACACACACACTCACTCCTTTCTAGGAAATTTACACTTTCAGCCTGAAATTTACCAAAATGTAAAGAGGATATTAAGTCTTCTCTTTGAGTGAGAATTGCGATGTTAGTATGTCGAGTCTATACCCTGTAGGAAACTTTTGGCATGGAATTCAAACATTGAAAAGAAGAAAAAAATTAGGCCGGCCAGGTTAGGTGTCGGCGATAAGAAAAGAGACTTGCGTGAGCAACCCCAGCCTTCTTTTCGCGCCCCTTTCGCCGCCCCCAGAAGCTCCCCCCGTCTCCATTACGAAAACAACACAGATGAGCACACTCGCACCTCCAACGATCGACTGTTGTATCAAGTGTTCTAGTCGGGATGTGGCAATTCAGGCTTGGGACAGAAATAATCTATCAACATGCCCATTAGTTACAGGATGGAATAATGTTTCTATTGGTTGGGTCCCTTCGAGGTAAGCGGGTGTATTGAGCGGGGAAATTTGGGGTCTGAAAATGGATCAAAGCTCCTTCCTTTCTTCTTTTTCGTCCTAGTATTTTTCTTTAAGAATCTTAGCTTAGTACATATAAGTTAGCGCCAGCCTACAGATAAACTGGTAGGAGTAAAGGATATATGCCCTCCACACCTTAAAACCATCTGCTCAGTTTGACATTTAAAAGAGAGGAGAGCAGAGGAGGAGGAGGAGAATGGGGGAGAAAGGAGACAGGGACAGAGAACAGGATTCAGACTCCGGAGAGAAATGGCTTGAACTTTAGCCCACAAGTTTGTGTCAATTGCACTTGGCGCTCGTATGCACGTTTTGCACACACCACGCCCGGAACTGGCGGCGGGAAAAGTTCCCTGCGAACCCCAGTAAGTCCTTTATCACGCCGGGGGAAGGCAGGCCCGAGTCGAAGTCGAGGTAACCCGCTTGGCAAACAAGGAAGCTCCCCCGCCCCCAGCCTCGGTGGCGGAGGCTCGCGGCTCGCGACGCTTTGCCGCGCTGTTCGCCTCCCGCATTAGGGTGCAGGAGCGGCTTGTTGAAATAGGAGCGCGCGCGACGCTAGGCGAGCGAGCTCGGTTCCTAGTACAGCTCCGTGAGCCGCCTACGTGGAGCCCTGTCCTGTCCTCTACCGTCAGGGCGACGCACAGGCCAGGCTCCTGGCAACCTCTCTTGCCAGAGCTGCGGTGCTCTCCCGGGTCTCCGGCGGCCCCTGGAGCAAGGAATGAGGCCTGAGCCCCTATCTCGGGCGACTCCCGGTTTGTTTTCTGATAGGGGAGAAGCGATCAGTCAGCCTGGAGACGACGAGTCGCCTAGATGTTGGCTCCATCTCTGAAACGAGCGCCCAAGCCTGGGGTCAAGGCAAATCTTCCTTCGGCCCCATTGCCAGCACAACCCCGATAACTTAAAAGTTAACACAAGTTCTCACCGGTTTCCTAACCCTATCCGTGCAGGTTGCATTTACTTATTTATCTGAAGGGTGATCTGTGTGTTCTTAGTCAAACTTTTGTTATCACTCATGCGTCTGGTTCTGGGTTAAATACACTTCGCCTTGACATTTCCTTGGTGTATTTTCCCCCTCCTGTTCTTCCTTCAAGCCGTTAGGTGGGGGGTAGGAGGGAAGACTGTGCATCCGAGTCATTTAAAACCTTACAAACAACCATTATCAGATCCCAAACAAATCAATTCTGGGAATTTCAACCAGATCCAGTTAAGAGGCAAACGTGGGCGTGGATTTGGGAGAAGGATATCCAAGAACCTTCGTGGTCACCTACCCACCCACTCACCCACCCACCACCATCACCGTCCTGAAGAAGGGAAGAGAGAAAAACCAACCCCCGGGTGCAGGCCGGCCTGCTGCAGGCAGTTTAGAGGCAGACTGACTGACGGCCTCTCTCTCACTCTCATCCCCTGTGCCCAGTGTGACGCCAAGCCCAACCTGGATTTGTTCTGAATGTGGGGGAAGTGAAATGCCACAAGATCAGTAGCAAGTAGCAGCTGCAGCGTTTTCTCTCCTGGGAACCCCACTGCTTAGAAGCCTCCCGAGTGATGTTTGTTTAACCAACAGCTTTCGAAGTAAACAGAAGCCAATCACTCCAAAGAAGTTGAAATATAACGCTTATAAGAATTTGGATCCAGGGGTGTTGGCAGAAAAAAACAATTTTTAAAATAATAAAGCCCCGCCCCAAATAAGAATCCCCTACATTGCTTAAAGGAGCGCACAGAATTGTCATAAAAATATAAATTCATCGAAAGGACTTATTACAATAAGGTGACCTCGAAGAAAATCACTCTTCGCCCACAAACACACACCCGCGGGGATGAGGGGGTTTGTCGGTGACCGAAGGGGCACACTACTACTTGATTTTATGGAAGTGGGCAAAAACGATCAAAGGAAGGTACATTCCCTGCCCTGGAGTAGAAAAGAGTAGGCTGGGAGCTCTTCCCCGCCAACCCTGGCTTTGCCTCAGGCACCGAACTTTCCAATATCAAGATATTAACAGATGGTGGTGAGCACATGGAGGGCTGCTACTTACATAATCCAGCCACTCCGCCCGGCCGCGCAGAGCCGGCGAGGCGCCCGCCAGGCCGCGCGCGCACCTTCCGAGGGGTGCTGCTGCTCCTTGAACTAACTTGCCTTCTCCCACCCCACCCAGCGCTTTGAGGGCTAGGATTTGGAGAGGCATTGATTTCAGGGGGGAAAAAATGCACTTCGATCTGGTTGTACTTTATCGCCTTCAATCCACGGTAGTGAAGAAGCTGGAGACCCAAAGGCAGAGAGAAGCTGAGAGGACGCCTTCGGGGAGGACCGGGTGCCCCCCTCTGTATCGGGGGGGTGCTCAGAAGTGGAATTTGCGCTATTTACATCCCCACCACCACCGCCACTTTGGTTCAGATCAGCATAGCTTTCGCTGTCACTAAAGTACAAAGGCAGTGTTGGGCCGCATCCCAAGGGGAGTAGGGTGGGGTGAGGGTGAGTGTGAGGGGGCGCCTTTGCACGCGGGGGCGCAGTGGGCAAAGTTACGCAAAGCCTCTGGGCACCGCTACTCTCCCGAGCCCCTGCAGGTTTTTAAGCGCTCCTTGCCGCTTGCGAGTAGCCCCTCTCGGCTGCGTGGCCGCCTGCTGCCTTCCCGCCCTCAACCACCTCTCGAGAGCCCGGGTTCCCCCTAGTGTGCCCGGTGCCTCCGCGTGTGCCGGGGCATGTATGTTTGCTGAGCCTCCTGCCAGGCTGCGACTCGGTTTTGGAGCCGCCGAAACCGGCGAGGAATAAGCCCGCGCGTGTTGGAAAAGTTTCGGGTTGGGCAGGAAGGCTGGGAGTCTCCTCTCCGGGCACTTGGCAGGAGCGGGGCTTCCTCGCCCGCGGCTTCCTCCCGGTGTCCTCCTCCCTCCCCTGCCCGCCCTTCTTCGCCTCGGCCCCGAGCTAGGTGTCGCGGCCTCTCGGCCTGGAGACAACGAGTGCGAGATGCTGCTGCGGCAGCGGCGCCGCGCTCAGCGGAGGGCACGCCCCTCCTGCCCGTGCAGCCCGTGGGGGTCCAGGACGCCCGGCCTGCTCGCCCTGTCCTTCTCCGCCCCGGCCCCGCGGCCCTTGCCTCTTCCCGGGTCGCCGCAGGGGCTGCAGCCCTGCACCGCTAGCCTGGGCTCAGCGCACGCCCGGGCGCAGAGGGCAACCACCTGCTCCCGGCGCACCGCGGCGCGGGGAAACGTGGGACGCGGCCGGGGGGTGTCTGCTGCCGCCAGGCCCGCGCTATCCCTGCGGCGTCCCCTCCCCCGCCGCCCGCCTGTTGCTGCAGCGGACAGCCAGTGGACCTGGCGGGGGGCTGGGGGGTGTCTCTCCTGGGACCGCCGGAGGGGCGGGACGTTTGAGGGATAGAGATCTCCCCTTCTGCCCACGCCCTTTCTTTTTGTCAATTAATCTAAGGATATTTGGCCGTTAGTCTCTGCTTCCCTTTCTTTGGTCTTTCACATCAAGGGTGTGAATTAGGAGGAGGTGCCCCATTTTCAGAGGTTTTGGTGATAGGACTTAAGTTATCCATACTGTCTACCTTACAAGGCTTTTATTCAGGATGAGGAGCGGGTTAGAAATAAATAGGTGTAGGCAGGACACAGAGAAAAGAGAAGAAAACTCCCAGTTTGGATTTATTGGGGCAAGAGAGTAACTCTGGAAAGTTTAAATTAGAGCAAGACAAAGTTGAAAGCCAGATTTCTATAATTTTTCTGGTAATATTTCTTTTATGAAGTATCTAAGTGTCTGTTTGTCATCATTTTGAGATCAAAAGGAAAATCCATATGCTGCATAGTTTTTCGAAATTGCTATTTAAATATGCTTTAAATGTTTTATCCAATGTGGAGTAGGCTGCTCAGAGGCAAGACTGGTGACAGGAACAGCGGGATGGTTTGATGGGGAGCAGTGCTTGCAAAGACCTGGGCGATCATCCGAATCACCAAAGGAGCTTTAAAAAAAAAATAAAGATTTCGGAGCCCATCCCAGCTAGGCAATCAGTGGGAGGACCTGGGAATCTGGAGGTCACACTGTGTCTCCAACTACTGCTCAGCCAGTTGGTTACTGACTCTGACCTTGAGTGTGTTAATCTGTCTGGGCCTCAGTTCTTTTTGTCTGTAAAGTGGGGATGATATCCAAATCGTAGAGTTATCGAGAGACTTAGATATAAGTAAAATTGTTCAGCACATGATGGGTGCTCAATACTTAGAAAGTATATATTGCCCACAAATGTGTGCTGTATACCCTTGCGCCGACATGTGCTCTTATACAAGGCCTCCCCTCACCCCCAATGTGTTGGTGAAGTGAACTGGACTGTCATGGCATGTGTATGTGTATGCACATTTTGGCTCATGTGGAGTTGCCACCTTGGGCATTTTATATGCTTACTCCTCCTCCACCTTTTAAGCCATTAAAAAAAAACATTAGAATTGGTGCACGTTTGGAAGCTAGGCCCTGTGTTCCTGGACCTAGAACTGTCCATCAGGCCCACTGGCAAACAGGGGGCATTTACCAGTCTGACGTCTGCTCCTCCCCTTTTTTGGCCCTTTCGCCTTCCCTGCTTTATCCATACCAAACCTTTCCTGTAGAAACCGTCCCTCTCCAACCCGTGAAAACGCAGGACAAAAAGTTCTATTCAAGAGGGAACAACAAAAAGGAAAAAAAAGTCAACATTGCTAGGTAAAACAAAAACAAATGTATATCATACAAGATATGTTTTCACATGTTTGAATGAGCAACTCCCCCAAAGCCATATCAAGTAAAATATAACCCTTCATAAAATTACCTTAGAAGCAATGAATTACAAGCACAGCCCAAGGTAATTAAGGAAGAACCCAGCCCAAGACAGCTGTGAGAAGGGAAAGGAAGACAGGCAGGAAGGTGCCATGCGTAGCTGTGACTCTGCAATGGAACAGGCTGAACCAGGTGACAACAGATCAAGAGGGCTGACAATTCTAGAACTGGAGATGGCTATGAGTGGTTAATTACACAGCCCAAGAAAGGTGTGTTGTCAGAGGCTTGAGATAAGTAATCATATATTGGGGGGTGTGCAGGGAGTAAGGAAGGGATTGTCAGCTTGGGGCGTTTGTGGGCCCAGCCCCTAGAGAATGGACCCCCCCAGGGGTTGTGGGTGCGGCTGCTCTACTCCCTGAATAAGGAAGAGTGGAAACATCACCCCTAGATGCCTGTCCTGTCAGTGTTCGTGGGTATCTTTGGGCAAGTGCGGAAGGTTCCTGCTGGCTAGCTACTCTCTGAACCCAGGTGGAAAATGTCTGTGACCCTAGGGGACTAAAACAAAGGACACCCCAAGACATCCTCAAAGAAACATATTTGGGGCCAAACTGGCCTCTCCTCCCAAGCACCCTTCTGGTGGAAGGATGCTTTTCCCTATACTTGGAGAGGTCAGGGTCAGAGGCCAAGTAGAGGAGTGTGGGTGGGTTTGGGGGTAAATAGGGGTGAGGGGGAGTGTGTGGGGGGATCCCTGGGCTGGGCGGAGGAGGGGAGCGAGCATAGGTGGGGGCGGGGCGGGGGAGTATGTCCGCAGAGTGACAGGCAGGGCAGGGGTGGCATGCAGTTAAGGGGGTAGGAGTGGAATCAGAGAGAGTGTGGGGTGGGGTCCGATTGGGGGAGCACGTAACTGGGGGCGCAGCGGCAGGGGGCAGGAGATTGGGGGTGGGCGAGGAGCGCCAGTGTTCCCGCAGGAGGCCCCCGCGGGGCGGGTGGCGTGTGTTAGTGTCCTTTGAGGGGCAGAGGGGCCAGCCGGAGAAAAGGCGAGGCGGGAGGCTGGATTTGGCAGCTGCTCCAGCCCGGGTGAAGGGCGAAGAGTCTCGGCTTCCTCTTGCCCAGACTTTTGAAGCCGCTAGCTCCCTAATCCCGGGTTGGCGGAAGGACTTGGACCCGCCGCCTCCTCGCGGGGGACAACATCCCGGACTCTCTCCTGGGAGGGCGTCGGGTGGCGGGGGAGGAGGAGCTGGCCTGACCTCCTTAGTTCTGCATCCCGGCCCCCTCTCGGCGGCTGGGGGCCGGGGCTCTGCGCAGTGGCGTGTCCTTCCCGCCGGTGGCGCCTCCACAGCGCCCCGCATGCCAGCTTCCTCCTGCTCCCAGCTGCATCTTCCTCCTTGGCCACCAAGGCCTGGTCTTGCTCCCCTGACTCCTCCAGCTCCCAATGTGCCCAGTGCTTTTTCCTCCAGGATCAGGCAAATTCAACCCCTTCTCTCCCCAGTGCTAATCTTCTGGTGGTGGTGCTGGGAAGAGGTCGAGTGTAGAACCCAAAGTGGACTCAAAAAATAATTGAGGAATAATTCAATTCACCAGATAATTGCTGTTTGCAAGACGCTGCTGAACAGTGTCAGTTGGTGACCCCGCTGAGAGAGCAGAGTGGGCTGAAAGACTTTGGTTCCGACCCAACCCAGGCAGTTGTTATGTGTGTTTGATTTAGGCGGGTTTCTGAAACCTCCATTAAGAACTCCAGTCTAGAAGAATCTGGATCAAAGTGTTGACACTTTCCCCTCTCCTATTCCAGAGTGACCCTTCGGTGAGAATACAGCAGGGAGGCAGCGTGCATAGTGACAATGGGCAGTGGTAGGTACTGCTAACGTTTGTTGAGCACTTCCCATGTGTCAGAATTGTGACCCATGCTTTACACCCACACTTCAGGTTTCTTGACTCTAAAACGCCGTAGGTTATGAGACCCACCATTCCTTTAAAGATGGCCTTTAGGAGAAAAGGAAAACACAGCGACCTAAAATGCACAATTGATTGTAAGACACTGATTTGAGCAACATATGATACGAGAAAAAGTGAATCTTAGAAGTGAGGAAATAAAATGTATTATTAGAAGAATTATCCCCACTGTACAAATGAGTGAACCGAGACTGGGAAAGTTTTCGCCACTTGCTCAAGGCCGCAAGGCCAGTAAGTAGCAGGGCTGGAACTCGAACCCAAGTCTGCCTGCAGTCAGAGCCACAGCGGTGTCTCTCGGGGCACAGAACCTCTGCAGGGATTGGACTTTATCGGTCCTTTTTCATAGCCAGATTTCTCTTGCCCTTTTTCTCATCCACACCCCCGTCCCATCCCTCAAACTATGGACATTTCCATGAGGAGAAAGTCATTCATTGGGGGGGAAAGGTACGAAGTAGTCAAATGACATTTTTCAGATTCAAATGAAGTCTTCAAAGGGTAAAAAACATGCATGCCAGGTTTTGCTGTGCACCACAGGAAGTCGATGAATTCAAGGATCCCTGGATTGCTGAAAATAGAATTGTAAAAAATAAAAGGAGTGGGGGGGGGGGAGAATGCGAAGGAAACTAATCCTATTAAACGTGGTAGCATGTTTTTGTGGCACGCAGGGAGAGATTAAGCACAGGAAAGGGGATAAGTACTGCTTCAGTTTCACTAAACTAATGTGACAACTTGTCATTGGAGATCTTTACAGCTTGTTAGTAGATGACTAGCTGATTCAGAAGTGTTTTCTATCATTCCCTTTGTGTTCCCATGAGTTTTTTTTTCTTAAATTTTCTTTCTTTTCCTGTTTCTTTCTTACTCATGCTGCTCTATTTTGCTTTATAATCCTTAGTGTCTCCTTCAAGTCAAAACATTTAGCTGGCTCTAATCAAGATTTGGTTTTGAAGATGCCCCTTGACCTTGGGTTGGCCAGAGAAGCCCCTGAGGGGGCCACTCTCCATCCTCAACCCAGGGACTGTCCTGGGGTTTAAGAAAATGAGCTTCTGGGAGAAAAACTCTCATTTCAGATTTCATTTTTCTGCAGTCTTTTCCTTTTCCCCTTCTTCCTTTCCTTTTTATGTTTCGTTCTACCCTTTTATTCTCTCCCTTTTTGCTTTTCCTTTCTATGCTGCTTCTTTTTCTCTTTCCCCTTCTGTTTTCCTCTCCAATTTTCCTCTTCTCGCTTATTTTCTTCCCATCTTCTCTTTCCTAGAATTAATCCCTTTCCCTTCACTAATGCATTCTAATAACTCTCTTCTTTTTTCCTTTCCTTCAGCTAAGACAGTTAAATTCCTAGAGAAAAGTTAGGAGCCTTGGACGATTCCCACATTGAAGTTGTAGACACGCAGGGAACAAAAGGCTGGTCTAAATTAAGAGGAAGTGAGAATTTTAGCCCTGGCCATTGGCTTTCCAAAGCAGGTGTCTCGCTTGTTGACTGTCCCTCTGTCTTGTGCTTTGGCTTCACTGTCTCCCACTTTCCCCCTCCCCCACTCCAACTTTCCCCACTGGCTTACCAGCAGAGGCGAGATGTTGAGTCAATGGAAAAACAACATTCGCTAACATTAAAGGGAGACTGTTTGGAAAAGGAAGGCCCTGCTGAGGTGCAGAGGAAGCCTGTGCATTAACACGGGCCACCTCTTATCTGGGGCAGCTGGGCCTGAGCTGCCTGTGCTGATTCCCTGGCTTTGCCAAGAGGCCATCGGCAGACAGGCCGCCTTGGGGAGCAGAGGAGCTGACTCTCACCCACAGACATCGCCAAGACTGTTAGAGACAAAAAGCCATTGCTTTTCTTTCCCCAGAGGCTTCACTGGAAAACCTAATAAGCAGAGTTTTGCAAAAGGCACACTCCTCTAAGCCTCTGCCTCTGGACACTCCTCACCGCGGACCGAACCCCTCTCATTTCCAGTGCTTTCGAGGACGCCCAAGTATTTTAAGGACTGGCCATTCTGGCCTGAATGTGAATTATAGGCAAGGACAAGCTAAAGTGACCCAAAGGAAAAGAAGAAAAAGGCATGGGGGTAGGTTCACCCTGGCTCGAAATTGCTTACCGTTAATTCTCAGGCCAGCTCCTGATGGAAAGATAAGGTAAATCCCTAATCAGTCAATAATTAACCGCAGCTCCGTTAATGGTCCAGTCAGCCGAATCCTGCTGACACCTTCAGAACCCTGCTTTGGTGGGAAGGATTAGGCAGAACCTTTCGATAGACAGGCCCGTCTGTTCAGCCTCCCGCAGACCCCACTCATGTCTCATCACAGAAAGAATGAAGTTATGCCTGTGTCTACCAGTGAAATCTTTTCTTGGGTTAACTCCTTAGGCTAAGTTCTAGAAGTTTCGCTTTTGGAAATCTCAGCTCTGTGTGTGTATTTGTGTGAATGTGTGTGTATATGTACACAGAACAGCTTGGAGATCCATTCTGGTTCCAGTTCAGTTTGAATCAAATTCCGGATGTGCTCTGATTGTTACTACATCACTCTTCTTAGAGGACCGTATTTTCTCTCCCCTGCCCTGCCCATCTTAGTTTGTAGTTTATTCCCAGTGCCTGTAAATATTCCTATTCCTTGTTTCTCAATGTTAGCTCTTCTCCAGTTTGCCATAAAAGCAGAAATGCTTTCAAAATGATAAACAACAGCCCTATCAAAACACAAAAACTATTTTTGAATTTTAAATAAGTAGGAAGTTAAAAGACTAATCAGTATTTGATTTTGGTACTTCTGGTGGATCAAGTTTTTTTTTTTTTTTTTTCTTACAGAAGCAAATTTTTAGGAGGGTAGGTTCTGTTCTTATTTTTTTTTATTTAAATTTTTATGTTTGTTTTGTTTTGCTTTGTTGTTCTGTATAGCATGTAGTATGTTACCATATGCATCTAGTTACATATACTATAGATGAGCAAAATCTGTATAATCAGTGTGGTTTCAATTTTTCCTGAAGTCAAGTTGTAGTCCATGACCATATGCCAATGAACGAACTTCACTCCTACTTTTGTGTGTCCAACCTACTTGAAAAACGTGTTCTTTTAGACATGAGAGAAATAGGGTACAAGAGTGTGGCATCATATAAACCCATCTCCATCACAAGAAAAAAAAACAACAAAAATTACATGTTAGGCTGCTGGGGTGTTATTTCTGCGTGTAGAAGGTGGTTCATTCAGCTATACTTCTGCTGGTTCTACCTCTCAGCCTCTGTAATCACCAACACACCATTGTTCTCTTCTCCTCAAAGAACCCAGTAGTCTGGGTGCTCAATTAATCTTTGGCTGCTTCGGGGAGTTGCCAATGAGTGGAAATTCTGCCAATGATCTGTGACACCCTTTTCAACAAACATCAATTGAGTGACATTTCTTTCTCCCCCAAATCATCCATCTGTCCTTTCGTATACAACTTTTGAGTTTCAAAAGGGTAGAAGGCAAGCTTTCTTTTGGTCACACATGTGGCCTAAGATGACAACCTCCGAATCAGATAATATAATCTACTGTAACCATGTAAGTCAGTCTAAATATTCACCAGACTGAACTAACATGCTAAATATAAAATGAATTCAATTCAGCCTTCTTCTGCCTTTGCCCATGAAAACCTCTTCCTTTTGTGAAGGCAATCAGTAAATGTAAGATTCAGTGCTTCTATACGCTTTTTAATTATTTAGGTATAAAAACAAGAGCAGGAAAGGTGAGGGAAAAACAGTGAGAAAGTTTTCAAAATTTGTCATTGTGAAATTTGGAGGAAAAATAAATCTAGGATCTTTTTTTTAGTTTATATATTGATTTTTGATTGTTTTAAAACACCAAAATGTATCTCATTTATAATAGTGCTGTTTAGTAAAGCAGAGAACATACATCGAGTTGTCCATGAGGTCCTGTTGCTTGGATATTAAAATGAGATTTTAAAAAATGGAACTGGTATCTATTTTTCCATGGGTCAAAAGGCATTCATAATTATACTAATAATTTTTGAGTATCATGCTAATGAGGATAGGAAAATGTAGACCTTGACATTGCCTTGTTTAGTTACATTCATTGTAGGAAAAATTGTTGTTTACGCCTCCGGAATTTCTTAAGGAAAAGAAAAATCAATTCCTGTCAATGAGCAATATTTTTCTCCCCAAGGGATATTGATTTGAACATTGACTTCACAATGGGTGAGTTATTTCCCTCAGACCCCCTACTATGAATTGTTAGGTGACATGTCTTTTAGGAGCCAATAAACATGTTGTTTCTAGTACAGTAATCTCATCAGGGAGATTCCAACTTCTGAACAGTGGTTGGTTTGGAATATTTCACCCTTTGTGCGTCTGTGTTAAGTATTCCTGAGAAATATATTCCAAGTTTAAAAAAGCATGTCTCTCATCACTCTGCCTTTTTAAGTGAAGTCTAGTCTTCGGGATGCTTCTGAGGCAGGAGCAGGTGGCTATGAGCAATTGCCTGTTCTGCTCGCTCCTTAGCTACAAGTCCTCTTGGCTGGTGCGTAGACCCATGACTCATGTGTAGTCATACGAATGTCTTCATGATTCCCTTTTCTCCCTTTATGTAATGGTACAATATTGGCACTTTTAATTTTGAAAATAAACCAATTTTCAATCTGCCAGTGAAGCCATTATGTAAAGGGATGCTGTGGCGGGTGGGGATGGGAAAAAGGACAGGGCATGGAGCATTCTTGTTGACGTGAATGATCATTCTCTAATTTATCTGTTATCTGTTGGGTTTGTGTGTAATGTTTCCTTGATTAGTTTTCTTGAAGGACATATTTAGACTTTGTGCTAGATTGCCTTGGGCTTATTCATTTATCCACTTATTCTTCAAAAAAATATTAATTTATACCCCTATCATGTGTCAAACACTGTATTCAACGTCAGTGTTACCAAGATA